GCCAAAGTAAGCAGGGAGTGAAGATAAAGCCAAGTAGAACAAAAATGTGAAAGGCCACTTAAGAAAAGTTTCTTATGTAAAAACGTGAGAGCTGTATTTAATCCATTGTAACAAAAAGAGTAAAAGTGCACTTTTGTTATTGGACGGAGAGGAAAGTCAGGATTAGGAGGACAAGACAGAATAAAGTGTTAGAAACCAAAAACACAGGGGGAAAAATGACTTAATAAAGACGGTCGTAAGACTGACGGACTATTTTTATTCATGTCTTTTGTTCATCTTTAAGTGTGCACAGCTGCTCCTGAGAAATGTGTCCTTGGGCAACACATTTAACCCTAAATTGCTCCTGGCTGCTTTGCCTGCAGCATGTGAATGGTTCTGACAGATGTGTGATGGAAACAGAAGTGCACCTTAGTGTGTTGTAAGGATGTGTGAGTAATGGGCTGTAGTGTAATCCTTATTAGAATCTAATAGATTTACCAGTGTTCCTGAATAATACAGTTTGTGTTTATATAAAACGCATATATTATGTATGATCCATTAAATATAACATAAAAATAAATAGATCTTTATCTGTATTATAAAAGAAAATACAAATTAAAGATTATCAATGAGGAAAAGGGATAGACTGCATATTCACTCAAACAACAGCTAAACACCAGTTAAGTCTAAGTGTTTACTTGTTACTAATACAACAAAATGAAGGATTATGGATCAGACGTGTTCAATTAACCTTTAGGTCCACTCTGAATTCACTTGCATTTTATAACCATTCTGTAGAAGTTTGAAAAGAGACCATAAGTCAGGCCATGTCATTCATCATCAGTGTGACTCAGGAGGTAATCAATCTCTTAAACATTTTAAATCCGTGCAAAGCACGTACAAGCAGTACAAGGTATTATAGCTGCAGATAAACACGGAAAATCTTGTTTGTTTCTTTAACTTCTCTTTATCTTTATCATCACCTGTAATGAAAGCTCATATCATGCTGTTATTATTTAGTGTGCCTTTGTGTCAGTTCTAACCATCTTGATTCCTGCACCCTCCCATCACAGCAGAGATTTTTACAAGTCTTTTTGTGCAGGTCCAAGCCAGAGTCCAAGTTAAGTCTGAAGTCTATTGAGCACCGACAAGCCAAGTCTGTGGCTGTTTCTGAAATCGCCCCCCATAGCCTACACCCCAAGCCATACGGCGTTCAAACATTTACAAGTACCTTGCACAATATAAAAATAACATAAAAATGGGATACAAAAGTTGCAGTTCTGGTTTAATTTAAAGTTTTTTCTGTGACAGAATACATTTATTTCTTTATTGTTTTTGTTCATTTAGTTAATTCCAAGACGGAGCACAAGGAAAGCTGGCCAGTTTGCGATGAACATTAATAATATTATTACATTTATGGCTGTAATTGTTTTTTGTTGAATTTGTTCTAAAGGGTTAGAGCATTGTACCCTCCAGCAGAAGGCACTGCAGATCACCATCAATGTGGCCCATGATAAGAGTCAGTTAGGCTGCCCCCATATTCTGCTAATCCGCCTCAGTTACAGCCCATTTGTCACTGCTCCTCTGACAACTTATTTTCTTATTGTCTTTTCTAATTTTGTCTTCCACTACGGGACCAATATTCAAATGCTCTTGGTTGCCAAATTCCATTTGCAGGATACAAGCTGCAACTGTTTCCAGTTTGGCAATGGGTGTGATTAAATTATGCCAGCTTTTACTTATGACACATCTAATACGTATAATGGCTGTTTCTTTGAATTAGAAACCTGTTTTTTTTTTTGTTTTTTTAAACTGCTGAATTCTTTGGATCTGGGCCGATTAAGACACCTGGTAAGGGTTTATATTTAAATATACATAATATGTTTATGTATGTATTTATATACACATAGTTGGTGCATATATATACACACACACATATATATATATACATATATATACAGTATACACACACACACACACATATATATATCAGGCGTCAGAATGTGGCTCTTTTGATGATGCATCTGGCTCTCAAATAAATCTCAGCTAGCATTTCTGAACACATTAGGTGATAAATATTGTAATTTTGCTGATATTCAAGTAAAACATAACAGAAAGCATAGTGTTAAAAAAACATCTCTGTGTATTTGCGGTGGCAGCGTACTCTCTTTTTGTGTTGCGTTAAATAATTGTGGTAAAATCATCAGCTTGGTACGTCATCTTTTATTTCTGGCATGACCTCCTCACATGTGCACCTACCATAAGGACAGCAGAGCCAGACCCCCAGGGACCCTAATCCGCAGGGGTGTTGCATTAATGGCCGTGTGATAATTTATGATTTGTCTTATGTGGAGTCTAATAAACTGTTTTGTATGGCAAGTGGAACTATATACTACTTTAAATTGTGTAACTTTGTTACACAACTTAAATCAAAACCATGCAGCACCAGAAGTCACATTAATGCTAAGGTGTATTTTATGTATTGGCTAGCTTCAGTATAACGTTATAAAAAAATAAAATAAATAAATCAGAGAGTTATTATACTCTAAAATTATTGTTTAAAGATTCACACATTTAGTTGCGTCAGGGTAAAGAAAAGCTGTGACACTGAATTCAATGCTACAGACATGAATGTACACTTGGAACAGCAGTCAGTTGCAAATGTCACTGCTACAGTTTCATGCAAGGGAATAAGAGAAGTTGTCTAAGATTGATGACATCTTGGCTAACATCTTCCTCTCACACCCACCCAGAGCTCAGTCCTGGATGAAGCTAACGTCTTAACCATTTTATTGAGCTGTTTTCTGTCTCACCTCTCTAGCACATCAGTCTTTTAAAGGTTTTTCATGCCACAACGCTGTCATCAAGCATTCTTCACGGTGTCCTATTTAATTAATTAAGGGAATGTGTACACATTCTGACAGGATGAGTATGAACATTTTGTCACATCCTGTGCAGTCCTTATTCTCCGGTGATGTAGATAGTGGTATTTATAAGCTTCTAAGCAGCTAAATATGAAGACCCAAGAGGTCGGTCAGGGTTGTTATTTTGGTGGCATTTATGTGAAGGAAGTAGAGTCAAGGAAAGACCTTGATGAGGTCCACATTCCCCTTTTCATTCCCCTGTGTTTCAGAATCAATGGCTAACATCTCACACGTGTACAGAGTGAGGATGTAACAATTTAGCTTTTTTGTCCATAGTCTATAATGTCAGCCAGTTTAATGCACTGAAGAATCCATATCATGACATTCTTGTTATATAAACCAAGCTAGTAAAGTTAATCTGTATTGGGTCAGGCATGTGATGATTGCCTGAGGCTTTGCAGAATGAGTTGATGCTATTTAACTTCCGCAGTGGATATAAAACAGCACAAATGTTCTACTTTCTTTGTCATTAAGAAAAAAACAAAAACATGCTTTTATCAGCTCCTGATTCTGCTGCAATATTTAAACTCTATTTACATGACAGGGCTTTGTTTGAGCTTGTTTGTTAAATGTTTGACTATTATGCCTACAAGAGGTCAGCGCTTGGATAAGATCTTGTTGGACCACCATAAGGCACCTAACATGATGCTTGAAGCAGTATCACTGTTCACACATGACTCACTGGTCTGTAGTATAATCTTTTAGATCTTTTTGACATTGTGCGAGACATAAAATGCATATAAGATTCAAACCTGAAAAACAGCAGGGACCCGTAAGGGTCTTTCATATCCTTACAAGATCTGCTGCTAAAACTGCAAACTGTACTATATCATCACACATCCTAAAGTGTAAAAGCTGTCGACACCCAGCTCGAGAGTAACGACAGGAAGATGACAGAGGTCAAACATCAGAGCAAAGGCACAGATGAAGGTAGAAATAAGACAGGATGGTAAAGGAGAGAGCTGTGACTTTAAAAGAGTGAATGGACTGGAGAACCACAGTGGTGAATTTGTGTCTGTGCTCTTTGACCATTGATGGCAAAATGATCTACTGTCACGTTTCATGTACTTGAGTGTTGCTAGGATACGTCTGTCATTATACAGTAAGTGAATTGTTAAATAAGAGCAGAAACTTGTTTTTCTTCTGTAAATATAAGTGCTTCCTCTGACACTGACAAAGGTAATAAGTGTATAATGTCAATGACTTTTTTTGGAAGGTCAAATTGCATTAGGTAAAAACTGCTTCATGAAAGGTGTCAAATTATCAGAAAGAGATTTGCGACTCATTTAGGTTCAAATCCCACAAAGACGTTATATTTCTATATATTTCTGTATATTTCTATTCATATATTATATATTTCTAACTTTTTGAATTTTTATCTACAACAGGTAATTTTTAATCACTGCCATAATCCTCTATTGTTGTTACCACACTAACAAAGGGTAGTCCAGTGTCATTCTCATGCTTGAACACACACTTTACTAAAACACACAAAGGATTTAAGGTATGTCAGACCGTGATCCCAACAACTGTAAAAATTGCCTCTGCCAACACGTATAGAGTCGATAAAAGAAGACCTGTAACGGTCCGTCTGCCTCAACCTACTTTCAAGCCCTGGAGAGTTGTTGTTTTGTTATTACAAACGCAAACTGTTGTCTTCAATCTGACCTTCTGAACCTTGCTCCTGGCACAACCAAGCATCATGATTCTTGCTGCATTTATTGCCATATTGAAAAGTTGAACTTGTGAACATCCATGATTGCAACATGAGAAGTCAAGTCATTATACACACAGACACACACACACACACACACACACACATATATATATATATATAGTTTAATAATATAAAATAACTTAATTAAAAATTCCCTTTCCCTTTTAACAGAGATGACTGTGTTAAGTGCCAACATTTGGATGAGTTAAGGTAGGAGACAACATTGTCATAGAACATCTGTCTACACAGCAGTTTCCACTGCTATTACTGGCCATGCTGCCTGTAGACATGGACACAGTCAGAACACTGGCTAAACAACGGCAGAGCTTTAAGATCCTCACATATCAGAGTTTCACAATATGCCCCTGGATTGTACTTACAGGACTTGACTCTGCAGCCATTCATCTGATGTACTGAAGCTCTGGCACTCCATCAGTGGGACCTCCATCTCTTGTTTCCACCTTCATTCTTACAGATGCTTATCCTCCAGGCCTGTCTGCCCACATTTCATCCACTGTTAGTCTGCCCTGTTACAGTCCCTGTAGTTCACCTTCTGCCTGCTTTTAAATTCCAGGGTGTTCCTCTTCTGGACACCCAGTGGTGTCTTGTGGCTATAAAACAATATAAAACAATGGAGTAAAAATACAAAAAATCACACAGCCATGCAATAAACATAAAGTTAAATAGTTTAATAACAACCTTGAAAAGACATTTTTACAATTAAGGTTGGTTTCTTTAGAGCTAAAAAGTATCGAGTAAAAAGTACCACTGTAGAATTTAGGAAAAACAAAAACAAAAAACAAAAACAAACAAACAAAAAAAAAAACCCCACAGCATAATCTATTCCTTTGATTCACATAATTGCCTGTAGCCAGCAGAATGCAAAAATGCCAGAATCAATTGTGTAGTGTCTTAGAGTGACTTTCACCTACTTGAGTTTAACTCCGTTAACAATTTTTTCCAAGCAATTACACACTTCTACACTGGCTTGTGCATAAATACCTTGCAGCAAATTAAATGGTTTGTGAATAAACAGTGACATTAAAGACGAGAGTCACACCATGTTTCAGCTATGTATACTACATAAAATATGGCTCACAGCTGTCGTTGTCAGTATTGTTATGGATAATATTGTGTAATTGCAAAAACAAAGTTACACTGAGCTAAAAAGCAGCTTCTCTGTAGCTGTTCTGACTTCTAACCATAACATTATTTGTAAATACACAACATAAATTAAAATTCTAATACAATTTTAACTGGCTTATGTGTTTGTAAAGCACTATTTTAGCATAAAACATTTAATTTAATTCTTTTATTTCTTCTATAATTAAAGATTTTGAAAAACAAAACCACCATTCTAATACATGTGTATTGTCTTTTTAAAATAAATAAATAAATACAAACAAATGCTGAAATGCATTTATTTGTTTGTCTCTCTCTATTTAACATCATGTACAGCACCAAAAACAAAAAAATGATATGATACCACAACAATGCTAGCCTCAGTGTAGACACTGAAAAATGTCATAATACTGTACAATATTTACATTTAAAAACAGCAGAGCTAAATGTAGGCAAGCAGAAAAAAAAAAAAACATTGACAACACAAACAATACATCTGCCAAACTACATTTCACTGCATAATTTCAACAGCTGACTGTTCATTTATGCCACTGTTAATGGTTCATTGAGGGTTTTTGACGACACTGTATCATTTACACTCGTTTAACAACAAATATTGGTCTGTGTATGACTAAACAGTCACCAACAAACAAACTTACGTAATCAACCTGCCGGCACTGTCACGATCGGTTCCCATTTTTGGTAACACTTCCGGTATATATTTACCAGCGTTGTGGGCTGTGTATTTAATCGCGCCCTCTGTGGTCCAACCTGAGAAACTACAACTTAATTTTAGAAACGAACTCAGTGTTACCTAATCTCTTATGTAACTATTTATTTAAAACGCTCTTTTTAAGATCATGTTAAATAAATTTGTGTTTATTCTACATTTAGGTTGTAGGTGTAAAGCGCTGGTACAAGTTACAGAGAGCACAGTGGCTAAAATAAAATACAAAGAACAGAATAATAAAGATAAAATGCCCCCTCTTTTCTGTGTACAAAATTATTATAAATGAGGCTCCTGTACAGCAACTAAATGAAGTAGAAACAGGTACAGATGAGAGAGACTATGTTAATTAAACCTCCTCTCCATCAACAAAATGTGTCAAACAGAACTTAAAGTGCCTGAAAAAGTATAAAATGACTTTGAAATAGTTTGAAGAAAAGGTCAAAGCCGAAAGCAGTCTTTTTAAAATGTTACAAATGTTAATGTTATACTGAGAAAAATTTATTTTTCAAGATGGTTTGTTTTATTTCAGAAACACACGTTGCAGCACAGACAGGTGGTGTACTTGAACACCTTTATTTACTGCCTAAACAACAGTTGTACAATAGAAGGTTGTATTTGCATAATCCATACCCTCAGGACCAGTTTACCCCAAAAATGCCACTAAAAAAATAAAAAATATCAAGTTGCCAAACAGGTCAGAAAACAACGTTTATTTTTTATTATTAAACTCAAGAAGAGCAAAAAAACAAGAATTTAAAACTTCTATTCCCCCTCCTATACACAAAAAAATACACAAGTGCAGAACAATAGTGGTACACAATATGATTGCACACAGAGCAAGATGCTAAAGAGGCCACGGACAAATGTGCTGTTGCTGGCCAACTCCCACCAGAGTGTAAAATGCTGCAGGGCCTCACTACAGAACACAGGCCCGCTCGTATACAGTAATGTGCAAATCCATCAAAACTTTCACTGCTAGCTTTCAGTGTGTTCTATTAATTTTTAAGGAATGTCACACACAAGGCCAAATCTCTTCAATGTGCTGTGCTCTTTCTGGCATTCCCTAATTTGTCACTTGGCCTTTCAAGAAGCAGTTTACTGAGGGAGAGCGAATAGCAAATACTTTGATTTACGCAAGGCCTAACAGCCAATATGGAAATGAGAATGACAGGGAAGTGTTCCAGATGTTACATTTTGGACAATAAATATGTAAGGGCTCGAGACTCAGTTGGCACACATTCATTCCCTTCATCCACATGGCCTCATTCCTTTCACAGCCTCGGCCACACTCTACCCATGTGGAAAGCTAAAAATAGTGTAGATAAGAAAAAGTGAGGAATCCTGCCCTGTCTCACTGACCTGAGTTAAGCACATCCCTCTTAGGGTGTGACATCACACATGGTGATATTTGTCCGTGTCTGCATAATCTGCCTCACCCTTGTAGGTTGTCATTTATTCAGGTCATAGTTCTTTAAATGTTAGGTCTGTATGAACTGGTGAAAAAGTGTCTGGTTGTCGGATCGCTCACAGTTTTAAAGTTTGTTCAGTAAATTGTTATGCTTTGTGTGTCGTCATATGACTCACAGACTCTGGTTAATGTGGGCCTGTGTACACAGTGGCAGGTGACTGATGGATTTCTACGGCCAGCAGTCAGTTCTGTCATGATCTACCTGTATCTACATTGTGATTCACTGCTGTATTCAATACATAAAGGTGAGGTATATTCCTGCATAGCTGATTACACTGAAACTGATTTACATTCTATATTTGACCTTCAGCTCAGATATGTTTAGTCAAAAAATGTGCTTTTGTGCAATTCAGCTAAGTCAGCCCAGCTGCAATCTGTAGGTTCAGCATGATGTACACAGATTAACAGATTTTGGCTGAGGTTGTGGAGTTTGTTTGGCATGTGTGTGTGTGTGTGTGTGTGTGTGCATGTGTGCAGTTGCTACAAAGCCTTGTCTCACAATTTATAGGTGGCAGAACAATTTCAGCGCTCAGGAAATGGTACAAGGGTGATGAATTGAACAACATGAAAAAATAATAACAAAATGTTTTAATGGGCACATTGCTAAACTATTGCTGTTTGAATAAACTTAAGGCGGTAATTTTTGTATTTGATTTTGTAGAAGGACAAAGGCCGGAATTATATTTGTATCAAATGGTCAGAAGCCTTAACGAGTGGTTCAGAGTTTTTCTATTGATTTATTTCTTACAAATAACATATTTAGTTATTTGTATGTGTCAGCAGCAGGCAGAGATTGGAGTCAGGAGTGTTTCTCTCCAGAGAGCAGCAACAGCAGCTGGTAAAAAAATACAGTGATGAAACAGAGTGACAAGGTGACAACAACAGACTGTAAATGGTTATTACATATTTTATATTTCTGCCAATTGCATGATTACAGAGTCGCCTTTTTTGTTTTCTGACTGAGAGGTTTACAGCTGAGGCAGAGGTGAAGCTGCTCTGTTGGTCTGGCACTGTGGGTGTCAACAGGTGAGCTGTGTTGCTAGATGATGGTCTAAACACAAATTTTACCTATAAACAGAGACCTGCTGGCCAAAACTAAATAGCTAAAATTGTGGATTGGATGAAAATATGCTACAGATTTTTTAGAGGCTATGTAGAAATATTTGACCCAGTAAACACAGTTTTTAATTCAAAATTGTTTTTTGTTCACGAATGGATGAAATGAATATACATGTGAAACAAAACCATTTCCTTAAGTATATTTGCATATTAATGAAAAAATACAGTGCTGTTAAAGATATCTATATAATTTACTCCATTGTATCATCATGAGTTCCTGTCATCATTCCACCGTCCTGTGCTTCTTTTTGAAAGCTGCCAAAAACACTTTAGGTTCATTATTGCTACCAGGCTGGAGTGTGTTCATCAGTGTCCCAGTGTGTTCAGAATAAGGGAACTGAGAAATTGGATGTGCCTTCTTGTCTCTGAGAAATTAAGTTATCATGTTCAACTACCAGCCATAGTGTAAAAAATAAAAAAAAAATATTTTTTTATATTGCACACAAGATGTCTATGTAGGTTCTCTGTCATCCAGGTCATCTTATCCAAAAATAGTTACATTGAGGCGAACTGGATGGAACTGAAGAAGCCTATTAGATTAGAGGAGAAACATCTTCAAGAACCTTCTCCAGCCAGTTGACCTTGATGTAACTATTTTTGCATATTGCACAACACAACAAGAACAAACACACAAGAACCTATGCACATAAAATACCTACAGTCAGCATTTCAAGGCTTAAGGCCAAAGTCAAAGATGTCCTCAGAAAAAATAAATAAATAAATAAAAACTTTAGAGAGAGCTTAAATATGAAATGATGTAATCTATCTGACATCCTTCAGTAGTTGTGCTCAGAGCAGCTAACTACCCACTCCTTTCTGCAGGAAGTCTCATACGAGTCTTTCTCCCCTCCCCACTTCTTCTGCCTGGGTGATGAGAGTGCAGCTCGTGAGCATTAAAGGGTTGCTTTGAACAAAAAGCTCCAGTATAAAAAGGAATGTGATATTAGGCACCATGAAGAGATCCTGGAGCTGCAGCTCGCCCAACTCTTCATGCTGTCATATAATTAGATAAAGGTGGGCGCTCTGCTGCGAGACCATCCCCACTGAGAATTCTCTGTGACCCAGGGTTCAGGCTGCAGATAAATCTGTGGGGAGATGTAAGTTGGTTCCACCTTCATTTGAAGGTCACATTCACGTCAGAAAATAAATAAATAAAACTTGTGTGATGTTATTTCAAGCATAAACAAAAAAATGTGTCCCATCAATACTTTTAAGAAAAAAATAACAACTCTACTTAAACTCAAAATGTATGTATTGATTGATTTATGTACACATTTATCTATGCTTTTTGATTTCTGGCCAACAAACACTCCCTTGGTTGGTAACCGTAAACAAACTTGACATGAAAAATTGATTAAGCCTGTAATCTGTGGAGCAGTTCTTCCAACCAGCACTGAAGCCTGTCTATAGTCACTGACCGAGACCAAAGTCACTGAACCTGCTATTGGCCATTGTTGGGATGTTTTCCAAAACAACAACACCTACAAATTGAGACAATTTAAATTTAATAGATTTAGTTTGTAAACTATTGTTCTTTGGGAGCAATCAGTGTAGTGCTCACTGACAATTCTTTGTCTAAAAATCCTACAATAGAAGTCTTCCATGCCTGAGGTCAGATTTCCTGTATGGTTGAATCAATCCCTGAACCTGACATGCCTAAATAAGCACATGTCTACATCTTCAAATCTCTTTCCACTTCCTGATCCAACTTCTAACAACATTTGTGAGATATTGACAGATGAGCTCCTCAACACAGGAAAAAACACTGAAGTAGTAGAAATAAATAATCCAGACTTTTGGCTGTTTTGTTCTACCACTACACTTAGTAAAACAGAACAGCTTCTACTGCCGAGTTGGTAAATGTCTCCTTCCTCCCCCTACCACACAAACACCATCCATCCATCCATCCAACTGTGCAAGATTTCTTCAATAACTTCAGTGCAATTAAAAATACCCTGAACATTAACTGCTAATTCAACAACAAATGTCAAATATTTAACTATAACTGTCTAGACTGCATACAACCTGCACCTTATACTTATAGGGACTGCATCTTAATAAAAACCAATAGGGCCCGACAATTTGTAGCAAGACTAGGACAGACTGACAACTCAGCCTCTGTTATGGTAGAATTACTGTATAAAGAGACAAATAGTTTCCAAAAAGCTGACGTCCTCCCTGTCCTTCACTCTCCTGCCTGCACTCAAAGCTTCTTGGATGAGAGGCAAAATGTTTTCTTGAGTAACTTCTCGTCCAGTTGCCAAACGGAACTCTTCAACATTGACCATGACCTGAATGACTGAGAGTCTTCATAGATATGCAAATAATTCATGATCTCTGTTTCCTATTTCACATATTTGACACAGAGAATAACGTTGGTTTGCTATGATGACACTAT